AGGGTGGTGTGAGCAGGGGCATTGTCATGATGGAAAAACCAGTCACCCGACTGCCACAAATCTGGCCGCTGAGCTCCAAGTCACTCCCGACAGCTCCACAGTTTCTTCAATGGTCCATCGTCGATCTTCCTTGATGATTTCATTTTCATGTGTTTGGGCTGTGGAAGGACGCAGAACGAGGTTTGTCATCAATTGACATTTCACCATTTTTGAAACGGGAAAACCACTCAAACACTTGAGTTTTCCCCATAGCATCATCCTTGTACGCCGTTTTTAACATTTCAAGAGTTTCTGTTCCACTTTTCCCAAGCAAAAAGCAGAATTTCACCACCGCACGCTGTTCACGAAAATCAGCCATTGCAAAAACGACGATCACACAAAACAGTTGTCACTATAAACTCTGCCGAAACTAGTCCTTACCTTCTGAAGCAACGGTAGTCAGCTTATCGATTCAGGAATGTTAGCTCTATGCGCTCATAGCGGCAAAACGCGGTACTACAAAAGCTCTGCCCACAAAAAAATTAGTTCGGTTTCTTTTGGGTACCCCATCGTATATATAAATAACATTTATCCTACATTGGAAGTTAACATCTTCTCTTATTGTATTAACCATTTAGAAAGTGGAAGGAATTGAGGAAGCTTTCAGCTGCTTCTTGGTGCATCGCCCAGAACAGGAAACAGAGAAGGTGCAGAACTTCCAGCAAGAGCTACAGTCAGTGCTGAGTGGTCTGAATGCAGAACAACAGGAAACTGGTGTCAGGGCTTACTTGTTGAAGGCTGCAGAAATGACTAATCACAGTCGCTTGCAGCTGCTCTTATCTCTGCTGGAAAACTTGGTAGCTAGCAGTATTCTGCCAGCAAGGTAGGCCCATTAGTGGCATATCAAGTCATTTTGCTGTAAGGAAATGACTTGATAAAAATATAAATCTGTTGTCAATAATTGGTCTTTAATTTTTACCTCTGAACATAGTTATCAGTTATTCTGTTCACCAGTATTCATTCATCCATTTACCTTAGTTTTTTCCGTTAATTAGGAAATGGCTGCCATTACTTAATTTCAGTTGTGAAACACTGCAGTCCAGTTACAGAATACTAGTGCCCCATCAGAGCATAGTTTGGGAACCACTGTTCTAATTCATGGTCTCTATTACAGAATGGTATGTGAATGCATATTGTCATGTGAAAAATTGCAATATCAGCAAGAAGATTTCTGGGTTGAATGCTTCCGTCTCATCAGAAAAATTATTGGTGGTGTTGATTACAAAGGAGTTCGTGAAATAATGAAGGTACAATTTGAAGAAAGTTAATGTTCTGTGTAGCTTCTGGTGACTGAGATTCTTATTTGCTCCTTTGTTTTTCTCACACTTGCAGATGTTTTCACATAGAATTATTCCATGATTATATAAACTGGAAGTAACTGTAGCTAACATTTTCCCACACATCCAGAATCATGTAATTAAACCTGGAGAATCATATACTTGAAGACTAAATTAATGTGACATTATATACAGTCTTGTTATTTTATGGATAACTTTTTTGGCTACAGAGGTAGCTTGGTCAAGTTCACTCTTGCAAACTTACCTTTCAGGTCATGTGTGTGTTAGTTTGTTTATAGTTTTGTGTGAGAAAGATTGACTGTGAAGAGTTTTAATAGGTGGTACTAGCAGACAAAATCATTGTTTTTACATGCTTCTAGTACTAAACAAACTAGAAGGCAAAAAATTATTGTGCACAGCCAGATGAGAGGGATAATGGTCAGTCTCACATCTAACGGTATAAATTAGAAACAGTTGCTCAACCAGTGGTTAGCAGATCTTCAACTCCTAGCTGAATGTTAATGACACAGAACAGTTATGTTATCTCTCACAACATGTTGGTTTCCTTCCTCGTTTCATTCTGTTACTGATGCAGGCCCATTAAAACAAGAGATCATACATTCATTGTAGTATTTCTAACATCAGGAATGCAAATTCCTGTGCCTGAAATTTGTAGCATTATGGTATTTATTTTTGGGAAAATAAAAAAAAAAGATCTGCAAATAAACTGTAGGTCTAGGTCATCCAACAGATTGTGAAAGACTACAGTAAGCACAAATAATTAACTGATACAAAGCATTAATTTGTATTAAATTCTTTTAAATGTTAATCTAATTTTATATTATATTTTATATTTTAGCATCCCTTTGCATTGAGGCATCTTTTGTTTGTTCTCATTAGGGTTGTAGAGAAAAAGCACAAACCATTCCAGCCAGGTTGAATGCTTCAGTACTTCCACAGCTGAAAGCCTTGGAAAATGTTATAGAATATATTTTTGACAGGAATGCTTGTCTGTTACCTGGCTATTTTATAGTCACTGAAATTCAGAAAGCATATCCTGATAATAAGAACTGGCCACATTGGGTATGTTGCATAGAATAATCAGTCATATTCATTATCATAGTCATTATTATTATTACTACCAAGCAAAAATTGGTTTACTTTTATGGGTCATTGTCACTTATCATTTATGAATCTTGAAATTAGTGACTTAACATTGTTTGACAGCCTATTGGCTGATTAATGCTCTATAAAACTGTTTTATTCATAATCTTGAAATGAAATGTAAAACAGGTGAGTACTGTTTGAGGTTTTGTTTTAATCACATGTATGTTTATATAATTACACAGAAATTGGCTCATCTATTGTCCAGTTTTGTGGAAAGCTTTCGGGCAACAGCACAAATGGTGTCAATCATTGGCCACTCTCACATGTTGCCCGTGGTGGAACACTCAGGGTATGCTGACCATCTTATCAATCCCTGGAAGTTAGACCCCTCGACTCTCAAATTTTCTCTCAAAGGAAACCTGCCATATGATCGTGAGCTGCTGGAACCTCAGACCAGACTCCTGAGATATGTGCTCGAGCAGCCATATTCAAGGGACATGGTATGCTCTATGTTGGGGTTACAGAAACAGGTTAGTCATGTTGAATGTACGTGTTGATACTGAAAAGAAGTACAGTGTTTTCACTGTTGACTGCTCAGTGCTGGAATAATAAATAAGCTTAGAACGGAGGAGTTGGGACTTGAAAAGTGCATGCATACACTTAGATGAGTGTAACTTACAGTTGTAATATCTGCAGATTATAAGGATGTGAACTACTCTAGTGATTCATGTTGTTGTTCAAAGCAAGCCATAATATCCCCAGTAATTAAGGTCCTATATCTGCCTAAAGCAAACATCAGTATCCCCATTACCACATAAAGTCCTCAGTTGCAACATAAATTTCATCCACAAGTTTCTAAGGCTGCATTGAAGTTCTTCGTTTGAACACCTTCTGCCATATATATGAATTGGTCTGAATAATTTTTGGTATTGGTTACTGTACCTCCAAAAATGTAATTTGTATTCTTTGCTGCATCTTGCAGCCCAGATCTAACATTGAAGTCTCTTTATCCTCTATAATTTGACATATTTTCCAATTAAAAATCTCTGTCACTGATGCCACTGTTCATCTCTTCATTATCATCAATATTCAAGGTCAGAATTGGGTGAATAGAGACATTTCTTATTGGTGGTACAGAACATATATTTATATATGCCACACAAGGGTAAGGAAAGTTGTAGCGTCTACAGAATAGTTGTATCAATTGCTTAGGAAGGCGTGTCAGAAAGTATACATTTTAAATACTCTGTAGTCTGCTGTAAAGGTCTGAAATGTAGGGAGAGCATTAATAACAATTGAAGTGGGTATTATAAACAACAGATAAAGTAGTGAATGAGTGAATTATGATGAAATATGTATTGATTGTGTATGTTTAATGTAGCACAAGCAGCGTTGTGTGGCACTGGAGGAGCAACTGGTAGAGTTGGTAATTCTGGCCATGGAACGTTCGGAGACAGAGGCAGACACAGATGACATTTCAAACAGCCACTGGCTCTGGTTACATCTCTCCAGCCAGCTCATCTACCTTGTGCTCTTCCAATTTGCAACCTTCCCAAACATTGTAATGGCTCTCCATGATAAGGTATAATTTATTCCATAGAGTCCAGATAGCATGTACATAATCTTAAATAACTTTTTGTGTGTGTGTGTGTTTTTTTAAGATTTTGGTTTTTGGCGAATCCGCTTATCCCATGGCAGAACTTGCAAGTTGGGGGGATGATGATGAATAGGATGATATGGAATGATAAAAAATACACACAAAACTGCATGCCTTAGATTGAATTTGGATTTCAGCCCCCATCGTTTGTTTAACTATATATTGTGTGTACTTCAAACTGTGCAACCACTGGGATTGGCTGTTTGGTACTCTCTTAAATGACTATGCCAATGATTTCACATGTCTTGATATAAACAATCTTATCAGTCTCTAAAAGAAGCCATCAAGATAATTTACTGCAACATTTTATGGGTTTTGACCTCTACATGATGAAGTTTATAGTTCCCACTATCCATGAATGGTGAATGAATATTTTATAGTGACATTTCACTCTGTTCCCATAATTGTTCACAGCTAGCTGGTCGTGATTTAAGAAGAGGCAGGGATCACTTGATGTGGGTGCTACTGCAGTTCATTTCTGGCAGCATTCAGAGGAATCCAGTAAGTTTAGTTTTACTTTTAGTTCCCCCCTCCCCAGGGGTGGGGTGTGACTCAGTCCACTTGGTTCGTCAACCACTGCTTGGCCTATTGTAGCAACCCTGGATGACAGATGATGATGAGTGTGGAGTAATCAGTGGAATGAGAATTGGATGGGAAAACTGACGTACTCAGAGAAAACCTGCCCCAGTGCCACTTTGTCCACCACAAATCACACATGACCTGACCTGGACTTGAACCTGGGCCACCACAGTGGGTAGCTGGCGACTAGCTACCTGAGCTATGGCATGGCTTTATCCAATAAGTTTCTTCCATGGTTTTTTCTCACCATAGAGCTTACCCTCCAATACTGGTCTTTTGCAATGTATTAAACAAAAATGTATTCCTAGAGTGTTACTAAGATAGTGCATGTCGTTAAAATGTGTGACCTATCTGCTCTCTAGATATGTGAAATGCCTTGTAGACCATGCAGACACGAACTCCAACCAGGGTGGTAGCAGGACATTGGGCAGTGCATTCAGTGATTCAGTTTTTATATTAGTGAGTTTCTCAGTAGCAGTGGGTTCTATGACAATACTGCATATGACATAATGTATGGTTCCTGTCACTTATGTTAAGAACCTGTTTCGGTTGTCTTGTGCTGAGGGAGATACCCTCAAAAAGGTATTTAAGCCCTTAAGTAATCTGGGTCATCAGACAAATTAAAATTAGTGAAACTGAACTTACATTAATACCAGGATAAGTTCCTTATAGAACATTCCCTCAAAATTTATCAAAAAACTCAAGAGATATAGGTGAAAGTTTATTTAGGCCCTCAAATAATATAATCCTTACAAGGTATTTGTATGTACTATACTGTACGTCAAGTTACATCAAAATCTGAAGATTCATGGAAAAGTTCATTATTCTGCTATGTAAAATGACACTATAAGTGTATCAGACTTAATCAAATTCAAGAAAGCTTGACAGACTTCAGTGTAGGACTGCCATACCAAGTTTGTTTGAAATGTGGACAGGTACTTGCAGATGTACAGACAGAATTAACTGTGTATTTTGTAGACACATCTAGAGAACTCTGTGTGTGTTACCCTTTCATGTTCACATCACAGATGTTTGAAATAAGACTGTTCTTGCTGCACATGGCTGTGTCTTTTTGCAGAAGTAAGTGCTGTCTGCTGATGATGACTCTGAACTGTTAACTTGAAATGTAGCCAAGAGGTATCAGAATATACTCTGAAGTTATATCTCTGTTCCTGTATGCCATAGGAAACAAATGGGACAATTTTTTAATTTGACCAGCAGCTAATTGTGTTACAGATGAGGGACCATGCTCAGAAACAGAAGGTTAAAATGAGTCATAGGTTAACACATGTGTAATATTATATTTTAGCATCCTGTTGTACTGTGTATAGACTTCAATACTGTTCTAATTCTTGTCCAGCCTTGTGCAACTCAATCAAAATCCACTAGGTTTCGATGTCCCTTCTTTCTTCCTTATTTCACAACATATTTTGGCCTACCTGGACATCATCAGGTGTACAAGGTGTGTTTGAGGAGTCTGCTGTGCAGACTGGACCATCTTATCAATGCAGCAGCTTGGTAAATAGCAGCTGTTGCAGGTGGTCACATAGGAAGAAAATGCATTCTGGTGCGGGTACAGACTGACAGCCTAACAGCAGAAATCATATGCTTTGTGACTTCACAGCAGCAATTAAAATGGGTGTCCTGCAATTTTAAAGCACATTTCTTAATAGTGTAAAGTATTCTGTGACAAGAATTGGAATCTTTCTATGATTTGTGTAATAATGTCCAGGTGTTTAATCCATAAAACCTATGAATTAGTATAATTTGTTTTTGTGAATTTAAGTGACACTGTATATCCTTTGCAGTTGGGAAAGCATTATTAAATGAGCATGATGGCCAGTGTCCTCTGGTGATTACGCTTTCATGGAACATAGTCTGTAGACTGTGTATTACATTATTCTGAGAACATGCTGCAGGAAATAAGTGAAACTCTTTTTTCCTTCAGCTGTTCAAAGTAGGGATCCAAAATATGGGAGCTGGGATAGCGCAGTCAGTATAGAAACTGGCTATGGGCTGGATGACCAAGGGGTCAGAGTTCCAAGACCTGGTAGTGACAAGAATTTTCACTTCTCCCTGTCATCCAGACCAGCTCAGGGGTTCACCCAACCTCCTATCCAATGGGTACTGGGGGCGTGAAGCTGACCACTCACCTCCAACCAGTGCCAAGGTCAAGAAAACATGGGTCTATACATCCACTCCTCCATACATCTTCATGGCATAATGCTTAATTAGTTAAGCACAGGGACAACTTTACCTTCTATGGGTCCAAAATATTCTATGGACAATGATTCAGAAGTTTCTGTTGTTAGCATATGCCAGTGTTTATCAGCAATAGGTTAAAATTCATGCCACATATTTTTTATCTGTGTTAGAGCGTTTCCTTCCTGTGCAGCCAACTGGTGGCCTTTGAATGAAAGATTCACAAAACTTATGCAGTATTTTTATGAATCTGTTTATAGCTGAACAATTTCTTACCAGTCCTAAAGCTCTATGACCTTCTATACCCAGAGAAGGAACCACTGGCAGTACCAGATTTTAATAAAGCACTGTGTACGCACCAAATGGCGATGACCTGCATCTGGATCCATTTACTGAAGAAGGCTCAGTCAGAACACCTTAACATTCATCGTCCCATACCACATACTTTAAAAGTGCATCATGAGTAAGTGTATATCTGAGCCATGCCATTATCATTGGCAAATAAGAATATTTTGCATGAATCCTAATTTAATAACCAACATGAAATCTAGCTTGCTTTAATGAATGTTGCAGTCAAATGATTAGTGCTTCTTCTTTGTATCTGGAAGATTCTTGACTCAAAGGCTTGTTATCACAGCTGAAGTTTCTTGTGCATTTCTTCAACCTTTCCAGGGAAATATAGACTGAGCTACTGACAACATCATTGAATAAACCATAAATAAATATATTATTGCAACTAAAGATATCAAAACAGTCTTAGTTACAAATCCATTTCAGACATGTATGTTAATATAGCTCTAATAGAATTTATTCTATTTACTTGCTCATGGAGCTGAGCCCTTCTTCAGAAGCTGCCAATTGTGCAGCTACTAAAGAACTTCCCAGCATTTTATGGGATCTGAAGGTTCATTATGTGTTCATAAGAGCCCTCCACTGGTCCCTGTCATGAGCCATATCAGCCCAATCCATACCATCCCGCCCTATCTCTCTCAGATCCATTTTAATATTGTCCACCCACCTACATCTTGGTCTTCCCAATGGCCTCCTTCCTTTCGGTTTTCCCACCAGTGGCCTATATGCATTCCTCCTCTCCCAGTTTGTGCTACATCTCATGCCTATTTCATCCTCCCTGACTTGATCATTCTAATTATACTTGGAGAAGAGTACAAGTTATGAAGCTCCTCATTATGCAGTTTCCTCCAACCTTCTGTCACTTCATCTCTTTTTGGTCCAAATATTCTCCTCAGCACCCTGTTCTCAAACACCCTTAATCTGTATTCCTCCCTTAGAATCAGAGACAAGGTTTCACACATTTATTCTGTTAATGAAATATACGTAACAGTAATGCCAAAACTGGTTTCTATGGAATCCCAGATTTCTCGATGTTTTATATATGTACATGTGTGTGTGTATACAGATGGTTCCAAAAAAATGTACTCACTCTTTGATAGTCAATATCTTTGGAACAAAATGACATGTAGTTATAATTCTTGCGTGGAGAGAGATAGTCATTGTATGTGTTCGAAGTGACCACCATCAGTGGCTAAACAGTGTCCATGCCGCCAAACTGCTGAGTGAACTATGGCTGTCAGTGTGTCTGGTGTGATGGCTGCACACGACGATTCAATGGTTTCTCATAGCACGTTCAGTGTAGCTGGCTTTTGTTGATAAATTTCATCCTTTAAGGTTCCCCATAGGTAGAAGTCGAGAGGTGTTAGGTCTGGAGATCGTGGTGGGTACTCAATAGCACCTCTTCGACCTATCCATCGTCCAGGTAGAGTGTCATCTAAGTGTGCCCTGACATCTCGATGGTAGTGAGGTGGAGCACCATCTTGTAGGTAAAATCTCTCATCTCCAAACAGCTCTCGAATGGCGGGGAAAATTGATGTCTGAAGCATATCGAGATACACCTGACCAGTTACGGTACCTTCAAAGAAGAACGGACCAATCAGACCGCGCGGTGGCAGGCCACACCACACATTAACACCCGGTAGATTCACTTCCTTGCCCATGTGAACGTGTGGATTTACAGGAGCCCAATGCACACAATTGTGACTGTTAACAGTACCGTTCATTTTGAATTGCGCCTCGTCCAGTTCCACTTCAGTACAGCCTTGCGTTGCTCAAAAGAAAAACCCCTCAGCCATTGTTGCTGCTGTCTTCTGTTCGCAGCGCGCACGCGCTAGACACTCACGTGACTCATGTGACCTTTGCCATCTGTTGAGAAAACATTACAATACCACCCAAGAATTGTAACTACGTGTCATTTTGTTTCAAAGATATTGACTGTCAAAGAGTGAGTACATTTTTTTTGAACTCCCTTGTATAAGTGTTATAAAACTCTTAATTATTTACTGTTGAAATATCATTTTTGTGTTCAGTCCAAGCATCTTTGTCAGCACATTTTTCTCAAGTGCCATCACTTATTATGTCCAAGCCTGATAACTTGCATAACAGTGTGCAGCATACTGTCTTTATCATAGTAGAGTACTTAGCTGCACACCAAACTTTGAAGTTTGAGAACTGCTAAATATTCTGTATAAGCTTGAAATTGAGAATTAATGTATCCTTTGCTGTACCAACCTTAAAGCTTATAGATATTTTTATGTTGTAGGTTTCTTCAGCATCTTGTTATGCCAAATAATACGGGCTTGTGTATGGGTTCTGATTATCGAATAGCCTTACTCTGCAATGCATATTCCACCAATCAGGAGTACTTCAGTCGTCCAATGGCTGCACTTGTGGATACAATACTGGGAACACAGAAGGGTCCACAGCAGCCACCGCTACCACCATTAGCTAATAATGCGGCACTGGCCAGTGGTCCCACAACACCCCTGTCGATGTCCATTTTGGATTCTTTGACAGTGCATTCCAAGATGAGTCTGATCCACAGTATTGTAACTCATGTGATTAAGTTAGCTCAATCAAAGTCTAACATGGCTTTGGCACCTGCTCTTGTTGAGACCTACAGCAGGTTGCTGGTGTACACAGAGATAGAATCCCTGGGCATCAAAGGATTCATCAGTAAGTTGAAACAGTGAACCGCTGAGAATGGTGTGAGATTTATGCTTTTCATGTCACTCACTTTAAAGAATACCATCTTCTGTCATGTGATGCCGTGTAGTTTGATAGATGTTTCTTGATGTTGCGGAGGAACCTACTTCCTCCGTTTTTTACTGTCAGCCCTGAAGGTGGAGGCAGGACTCCCTTCAAAATATCAGTCAACTTTTTACCAGACTACATAGCGTCGCATCCCAGAAAGTAGTATTCTTCATTCAGAATATTTCTTTCTTAGCATGTGCAGTAAAACTGTAATGATGTTTCATGAAGTTATGGTAACAGAGTTGATGATAGAACATTGTGCAGTTTGCAAGTAATTCTGTTCTGCTAGGTGGATCTGCTAGCAGTAGTCTATATATCATTTTTAGGTAACAATAAGAAATATGGATAATGTCCAGAAAATGAATTACTGTATTGATAATCCATTGTCATAAAATTTTGGATCTTATAATAGTAGTCTCTTTGTTGACGATTCTTATTATTTATATAATAAATGCCTATTTAAAAGATCTTTTTGAAATCTGTATTTTGTATTTTTGATCACTGGACATTATATAATGTGACTGGATTCTGAGTATGAGGAGCCTCAAATTCTTATTTTAATATAATTTTTACATAAATGTTAGCTGGCACAGGATTAGGATCTTGCAAATATGATCATGAATTTTCTAAATACTGTATATAACAATGTAATTTTCTGCCCTGATTCAATTATTTAAGCTTTTTCATGTGGTTTGAATTTCATGACCACACTGAATATTTACAAAGATGTTGCTTCTCCTTTTTGATAGCCATGTATTAAGACCTGAAATAAATTTGACTGCTTCAGGTATGTGCCGCCTTTTAATTTGAACCAAAAGAATTAAAAATCCATGGTAATATGCTTCAAGCAAATGGAGTAACAAGATTTCCAAAGTAACTAACGAGCACTATGGAGCAAGGTCTATGTAAAGAAGCTGGTCAAGAAATTCCCTTCCATTTGCAGAAACAGATGTTACTCATCTTTCATATGCATGCTGCATAACCCACCCATCTCATCGTCCTTGATTTGACAGTTCCAACATTTAGTGAAAATTGTAAATTGTGTTGCTCCTCATGTCATTTTCTGATTGGTTTTCATGATGATTTTTAATTTCTGTTTTTAGGCCAACTGTTGCCTACAGTGTTCAAATCTCATGCATGGGGCATATTGTACACCTTGCTCGAGATGTTTAGCTATCGGATGCATCACATTCAACCTCATTATCGAGTCCAACTTTTATCCCATCTTCACAGTCTTGCTGCTGTCCCCCAGACAAATCAGACGCAGTTACATCTTTGGTAAGAAAACTTGCATCATAACTAGCTGTCCTGCATGATGCTGTTTACATAACATTTTTCGAACCATAATGGCTGTCCAGGGTTCGATTTCAGGCAGAGGCAGTGATTTTTCTCATTGTTGCTATGTTCACACCAGTTTTGGAGTTCATCATCATCATCATCATCATCATCATCATCATCATCATCACTGGCACGACAGCCCTTTGTGAGTCCTGGCCTTCCTCAGGATTGCTCGCCATTCTCCATTCGATGCTACATTCCTCCAGTTCTTTACACCCAAAATTCTTATGTCCTGCCACACACATTCTTCCTATCTCAATCTTGGTCTTCCCACTTTCCTATTTCTTTCTGGGTTAGTATTAAGTATTTTCTTAATCGTTCTATTCTCTCTGACACGTATTATGTGTCCATCCCATTCAGGCCTTTTCACCTTTATAAACCCAATAATGTCTGGTTCATTAAATAGTTTGTATAGCTCATGGTTATACCTCTTCCTCCTTATTCCATTTTCTTCCCCTGGTCCAAAGATATATCTCAGGATCCTCCTTTCAAATATAGTTAACAGTCTTTCAACCGATCTTGACAGTGGCCAGGTCTCAGAGGCATAAGATAGCACTGATCTTATAAATACTTTATACATCATAGTTTTGGTTTTCCTGGGTATTAGTTGGGATTTCAGGTGTTTCCTAAGGCCATGGAGACATTTATTTGCCACAAGTACACACCTTTTTATTTCATCACTGATGTCATTTTTACAGTTAACTTCTGATCCAAGGTAAGTAAAACTACATACAACCTCAAATTTATATGAGCCAATTTCAATGTATGCAGGTCCATTAGCACAGTCTTTCTTGGTTACCGGCGTGTACTTTGTTTTATTTTGGTTAATTTGTAGATTAATCTTTTTTGCTGCTCTTTCAAAATTAAGAAAAGCTTCTTTAATAGATTTTTGTGTTCTACCAATTATATCAATATAATCTGCAAATGCCAGAATTTGAACTGACTTATAGAATATAGTTCCCCTTGTGTTGATGCCTGCATCTCTAACTACCTTCTCTAATGCTATATTGAACAAAAGGCAGGCTAAGGAATCCCCTTGTTGAACTCCATTTCTAGTTATTATAGGGCTGCACAACATATTCTTAATTTTAATTTGGCATTGGGTCTTTCTCATAGTGGCTCTGACTAAGGCGATTAACTTCCATGGAATGTGCATCTCTTCCATTGCCAGAAAAAGACTATCTCTATCTATTGAGTCATAGGCTGATCGGAAGTCAATGAAAAGATGTGTTTCAATTTGGAATTCATTACACTTTTCAAGGACCTGGCAAATAGAGAAAATCTGATCGTTAGTTGATCTTCCTTGACGAAACCCACATTGGTAATCCCCAATTATGCCTTCCACAAAGGGAGAGAGTCTGTTAAATAGAATGTTGGAAAATATTTTATATGCTATGCACAACAGACTAATTCCTCTATAATTAGAGCATACCATGACATCGCCTTTCTTATGGATAGGGCATACAGTACTTAGGTTCCATTCCTCTGGGATTATTTCAGTTATCCATATCTTAACTATTAGCTGATGTAAGTGCTTAGCATATTCTGGGCCTGCAAATTTCACTAATTCTGCCATGATGAGATCCATTCCTGGAGCTTTATTATTTTTCAATTTTTTGATGGCTTGTTCTACTTTTTTTATGGTCGGCCGTGGCTCTTCAGCCTCAAAATTTCCTTGATTCCAGTCTATTGTCATACCTTCCGCTTGTTCAGAGGCATTACCATTTAATAATTCCCCAAAATATTGCGCCCATATTCCAATATTGCTTCATCACTACTCAATATTATGCATTCTTTATCTCTACATAAGGTTGTTCTAGGTTGAAAGTCCTTTCGACTTTGTTTAGTTTTTGATAAAACGCTCTAATTTCGTTTGAACTTCTTAAATGCTCCAGTTCAATCAGTTCTTGTTTATCATATTCCCTTTTCTTCTTTTTATGCTATCTTTTTTCTTTTCTTCTCGCTTCACGGTATTCTTCCACGGCCCCTCGAGTATGGTTCCTTTGCTGCATTCTCTTATATGCCTGTTTTTTTTATTTGTCACTTGCTCACACTCTCCATCAAACCAATTCTTATACTTTATCCTTTCCATTCTTCCTAAGACTGCACCAGCAGCATTTATAATAACATCTCTGAGGCCCCTCCAAGCTTCACTGACATCCTCACTATCAGAGAGACCTGCCAGGCATTCACCAATTAATCCAGTATATCTGGTTGCAACTCCTTGTTCCACCAATTTTCCACAATTCAATTTCTTAGCCTGGGATCCATGTGTCTTCCTTGCATTAGATATTCGACTTCTAATCTTTGATATTATTAAGTAATGATCAGAGTCAATGTTGGCTCCCCTGTAGCTCCTGACATCCATCAAGTCTGAACAATGTCTTACATCTATTAGGATGTGATCAATTTGATTAAACACATATCCATCAGGGGATTTCCAGGTTCGTTTATGTATATCCTTGTGATTAAACATTGTACTACCTATTACCATGTTTCTTGAGGAAGCAAAATTTATTCATCTCATCCCATTATCGTTTGTCTTGTTATGTGGGCTATGTATTCCAGTAACTGATCTATATACATCCTCATTCCCCACTTTAGCATTCATGTCCCCTATGATTATTTTACAATCCCTTTTTGGACATTCGCCATATATTTCATCCAGTTCATCATAAAAGGAGTCTTTGTCCTCATCACTTTCATCTTCAGTTGGGGCATGTGCACAAATAAGGCTATAGTTAAAAAACTTTCCCTTAATTCGCAGCCTACATGTTCTGTGAGATTTTGCCTGGAAGTCTAAAATAAGATGCTTCCTTTTTTTTTATTAACAATAAAACCTGTTCCAAACATGTGAATCTTCTTCTGACAGCTATAGAATACAACATGATCCCTCTTTTCCATGACTCCTTTACCCAACCACCTCAGTTCTTGTATAGCAGTGATATCTAGTTGTTCAAGTAGCATTTTTAGTGCTCCAGCTCTGTAAAGAGATAATACATTCCAAGATCCAATTCTCAAATCCTTTAAACATTTTCCAGGTCATCTTGAGTAGGTCCGTCCGGCTACTCTTTCCTCGGATTTCTGAACAATTTAGTTTTTACGGTGTGAGGTTTTTAGCCTCACGCCCAACCTCCAACCTGAAGGACCAGGGTATCCCTCTCTGTCTGGCTCCTTCCCCTTGACCTGTCCGGCATGGGTGGCCCTACCAGTAGCTACGCTACCGCCAGCATAGCTCTCAGGGTCTCAGGAGCTCTCAATCCCCACCACCACAATAAGGTGGAGATACCATTGGTGCAGAGTTTTGGAGTTCATCCAATCTCTTATCCAATAGATATAGAGCTCTGTTTCCATGGGGATAAAATGGCCAGAGCATGAAGCTAACCATTTCTCTGCATGTAGTGCCAAAGTTAAAAATGTGGTTATATATTTGTGTAAGATATGTCTTTAATATTACTATTTTGTTTGTATCTTTGTCTTTCAAGTGTTCTTTCTCTAAGGTTTTCCAGTTTTTTGTCTGCATTTCTTCGTACGCCTATGCATGCTAAATGTTTTACCCATTTCCATGTCTGGAAAATTGTGGATATTTCATAAAAATTAGTTTTTTCAGTGAGAGACTTTCAGCTTCCATTCGCATCTAGCAGATCATCACTTCTTCTCTATCTCTGATTGCTTATTTAGCATGTTCACAATATACTCGGATCTTCCTTGTTTGCAGGCTGCCTCCACCATGTAGCTAATGTCTGCAAGAATGTTTGAGAATAGTGACTGAATAGGTACAGCATAACTATGCTATTCTTTACCTCTTTCTTTTCCAGTGTTGAGAGTACAGCCCTGCGCCTTATAACAGGCTTGGGGAGTGCTGAAGTTCAGCCGCAGTTGTCACGGTTTCTCAGTGAGCCCAAAACGTTGGTGTCTGCAGAGTCAGAAGAGCTAAACCGAGCCCTTGTTCTCACATTGGCTCGTTCTATGCATGTAACTGGAACAGGTAACAGGCAAAATGTTAAAATATTAAATTTTTTAAGAGAGAATTACTGGGTTTTTGGACTTTTTCCATCGTTCAGTATTCTAGAGACTTGAAAGTGTGACATTTCGGAAACTGGATCTGTTTCCATCCTCATGTGAAGGGGGAAGACACTTAGTCAATTGGGTTCCTTAGAAAGAGCTAAACTCAGTCACTATTTCTAAGGGACCCAATTGAATAGGTGCCTTCCCCCCTCACATGAGGATGGAAACAGATCCAGTTTCCGAAATGTCACACTTTCTAGTCTCTAGAATACTGAACGATGGAAAAAGTCCAAAAACCCAGTAATTCTCTCTTAAAAAATTTAATATTTTAACATTTTGCCTGTTACCTGTTCCAGTTACATGCATAGAACGAGCCAATGTGAGAACAAGGGCTCGGTTTAGCTCTTCTGACTCTGCAGACACCAACGTTTTGGGCTCACTGAGAAACCGTGACAACTGCGGCTGAACTTCAGCACTCCCCAAGCCTGTTATAAGGCGCAGGGCTGTACTCTCAACACTGGAAAAGAAAGAGGTAAAGAATAGCATAGTTATGCTGTACCTATTCAGTCACTATTCTCAAACATTCTTGCAGACATTAGCTACATGGTGGAGGCAGCCTGCAAACAAGGAAGATCCGAGTATATTGTGAACATGCT